AAAAGATTCCCCCCTGACAGAGTTTTACCTCTTTTTACACTTTATGATTTCATATCATCAAAAAAGACAACTGGCCTTCTCACTCCAGCCCTGTAGTTGTAGGGGTTATTTTCTCTTGAAAATACACAGCTGAAATAAACCAGGAATAGCTCCACAATGATCAGGTGTAGTTAGGGCACTGTTGGCTGAGTGTCTGAGTTGGAGGAAAAACAAATGCAGCAGGAAGGCCTCCTAACAGAGTTTATACCCTCAGCTGAGTTTACAGCTCATCAGTTCCACTAAACTAGACGTGGAAGTAGAGATGTTTTACTTTTAGGGGCAGAGAAACGATCAGAATTTAAACTCCTTCGTTCAGTTAGTGGGTTTCATCAAAGGCAGAATTAGATTGCGGGAATCTGTTAACATGTAAGGTAAGAGGAAGAAAGCATAAAAACGCTTTCTTCAGCTTTAAGGCACATTTTTAAATGCCGCCGCACAGAGTGTCAGGTTAATCCAGGCATACACTGTACATTGTTTTGCCCTTATTGGGACGATTCTCCAGTTGTGCGAGAATTTTTCCATCGGGCCAAATTTCAGCCTCCTCGTGTGTCCTACGATGTGTAGTATACAGGGTGTAACCAGGGGCGATTAGCCTCTCACCACCACCTCCCGATCAGGAATCATAAGGTTGGGAGAAATTCAAACATGTTTGAAATTCAGTCGGCCATCATAAGGAGTTTGTGGGCAAATTCTGCTGTTAAAGCAGATCTATGAGCAGATTTACCAGAAACTCGAGCACTGCGCATGCACAAACAAGGGAGTTCTTCTTCTTCTTTCAGATTGAAGAGCCAGCGCCATCTCTCGCCGCTAAATCCGACGTGTGGTTTTTGGACATACAGTGTGAGCAATTAGATCGCATCAGAGCGCTGGGCCATACAATGAGAATATGCACCCTGAGCCGTCAACTTTTAAACCCTACGGTTTCATCGTGCAGTTTGAGCTGTAGCTGCGTGCAACAATTGAAAATATTGCACAGTGTATGCCCACCTTTAGCTATCTCCATTGTTCTGTTGCTGCACAAACTGATTAGGAAGCATCTGTTTCTGATAGGCGGACTGGGATCGGAACTAGGAATGGAAAATAACGTTGACATCTTTCAGTAGGAGAGAGGAAATATACCTATTTCTAATCTTGTGTGCTTCTTCTCTTTGGTTCTCACATTTCTCCCTGTAGCCTGGAGTTTGAAAGTCAGCGCGACCGCTTGAAAGCGCAGCTGGAATATAAT